GTCTCTGCCTTTTTTTTTTTTTTTCTTTTTTTTTTTTTGAGACACGGTCTCCCTGTAGGCCCAGCTGGCCTGGACTTACTATGTGAACCAGGGAACCAGGCTGGCCTCTGCCTCCCAAATCCTGGGATTAAAGATATGTGCCACCACATTGGACTCTGACTTTTCAGTGTTTTATTTGCTTTTTCTCTAAGACCACTGAAGAATTCAGGAAAATGAAGAGAGGCTTTCAAAACCCAGTGTTTGAAGAGAAGAGAAGCAGGGAACGTCTGGTTGGTGATGTCCCCAAATCTGTGGATTAGCAAGAGAAAGGCTACATGGGACTCCTGTGCAGGGTCAGGTATGACAGTGTCTCATTCTCACCATCTACTGCCCAGAGCAAAGGCAAGGAAATGGAGTCTTTGCTGACTTTGGAACAACATGCAGTTTGCTATTTGAGAAAGTGTTCAGCTCTGTAAATTGTTGTTAGAGTTGGTAAGTGGTTGTGGATGACAATCTTTTCTTCCCCATTTAGGGTCGACATGAAGCTTTTAGGGCTTTTAATATGGTTGGTGCCCATGAAGGTCAGATGTTCCAGAGGAACTGTTGTATAAAGCCACCTGCTGTGTTCATTCTAATAAATGGAAAATGTCCTTCTCTTTCAGCCAGAGGAAGAACTGGGGCACAAAGATAGCCAAGGAGTGGACCAACCACTAAGCCATTAGCACAGGAGTCATCTCCAGTATGTGAGCTGCCTGATAGTGACGAGGAAGGACTGGAGTGGGGACGGCAGACAGAAGAGGACCTTTCCCTTCACAGTTCTCAGCCTGTGCTGTGTGAGATCCAACACAGTCACTGCAGACCCACGTCATCAAGTGGATTGTGACACATTTATGCTAATAAAACAGTATCACCACTTTAACCAATGTCTAAACTGTTTTCTATCAATGATCCACATAACAATTTTTAATAAAAATAATATATAAGCAACTGATGGCTTATAGTAGGAGAGTAGGAGAGTCAGACTCTTTCAAGGATGTGATTTTTATTATTAATAGGGTCTCTGTAGCCCCAGCCTGCCTGGAACTCACTATGTAGATCAGGTAGACCTCAATCTCACAGAAATCTGCCTGCCTCTGCCTCCAGAATCCTGGGATTAGAGTCCTGCA